AGACATGCTCAAAATACTGCTGATAAATTGACCAAATAAGCCGGAATAACAGGGTAAAGGCATTATAAAAAAGAAAATCACGTTGATCACACACTGTATCTGAGCCTTATCAAAACTGCCAAAGAGTACATGCAAATTAAAAGGGATTGATCTTTCAGGAATAGCTGTGGGATATTTAAAGTTCTGGCCAACATACAGCCATAAAAAAAGAAGACAGCCTGCATACAAAGAAAGTTTAAATCAAGTTATTATCAGTACTGAAAAGAGCTTTGCACTTAGGCTTTAAAAGCAGTGAAAGGTTGGTATGAATTAACAACAGCCAAATTAGTGAAAATTGAAGTAATTTTCTCTCACCCTAACGTGTGTTACTGGGGAAAAGAGACCAACCCCCACCCAGCTACAACCTACTTTCAGGCAGTTGTAGAGGGTGATAATGTCTCCCCTTAGCCTCCACTTCTCCAAACTACGCAACCCCAGTTCCTTCAGCCACTCCTCATAAGACTTGTGCTCCAGACCCCACATCAGCCTCATTGCCTTTCTCTGGACATGCTCCAGTGCCTCAAAGTCCTTCTTGTACAGGGGAAGGATCACTTCCTTGGTCTTGCTGGCCACACTTTCTGATACAAGCCAGGATCCCATTGGCCATCTTGGCCACCTGGGAACACTGCTGGCTTGTATTCAGTTGGCTGTCCACCAGGACCCTCAAATCCCCTCTGTGCCAAGCAGCTTTCCAGCCACTCTTCTCCAAGCCTGTTAGTGCTGCATGGGGTTCTTGTGACACAAGCACAGGACCCGGCACTTGGCCTTGTTGAACCTCATACAATTGGCTGCAGCCCATCAATCCAGCCTATCCAGGTCCCTCTGCAGAGCCTTCCTACCCTCAGGCAGATCAACACTCCTGCCCAACTTGGTGTCATCTGCAAATTTACTGAGAGTGCACTCAATCCTCTTGTCCAAGTTGTTGATAAAGATGTTTAATAGAACTGGCCCTAACACTGAGCCCTGGGGAAGACCACTTGTGACCGGTCTCCAACTGGATTTAACTCCATTCACCACCCTTTAGGTCCAGCCACCCAGCCAGCTTTTTAACCAGCAAAAAGTACACCTGTCCAGGCCGTGGACAGCCAGTTTCTTCAGCAGAATGCTGTGGGAAATGGTGTCAAAGGCTTTACTGAAGTCCAGGTATACTACATCTGCAGCCTTCCCTTATCTAGCAGATTGTCATAGAAGGAGATCTGGTTAGTCAAGTAGGATCTGCCTTTCATAAACCCACATTGACTGGGCCTGACCTTCTGGTTGTCCTGGACATGCTGTGTGGTGGCATTCAAGATGTGTTGTTAGCATTCACAATGATCTGCGATGATTGCTTACAGAACTGACAAATTTCTTCTTTCCTTCTGCAACTAGAATTTAACAAACTCTGCACAATGTACAAAAGCCCATGAAAAATTACTATTCTTCTCTAATTCAAGAATAATAAAACTGTTTAAAAATCAAGTAAGTTTTTTTTAGAAATACTATTATAACACGAAAAGTAGTAGAACGTTATTATACATTTTAGCAAGCCATGATCTGGAATATTTTCAAGAAAAACAAAACGAATTGAGTTACTGTAAGTCGTATGTATTCACTAACAATCACATAAGAGTAGACACTAACTTATACAAGTTAACAAGAGGCATTTTGAGACTTGTTCTGTAACTGCTGGGTCTAGGGTCTGGCTTATTCCAGTGTGCAAGCTGACCAGCTTCCACTGCTCTCATACAGGGGTCAGAAGGAACTGTGCCTTCTTATGTAGTCTTTTCTGAGTTCAACATTGTGTCCTAGAACAGTCATACAAAACACACTGAGGCTCCCTGCTGGTAACCCATATGTCTGCAGTCTGAAGTAATACATTTACAAATAGCCTAATAGTCCCAAATTAGAATCCATTATAGCCAAAATCTCCTTATAGAATTAATTTTTTTTAAAATGTAGAGCAAGTCTCAATGTCATTAGTAAATCACAAGAAACTTTCAAAATATTTATTTTATGGTAGCAATTCTAAAAGCCTTCATTTTAATTACTACTAAAGCCTTAATCACCTTGAATCAAAAGAAACTGAGTGCAAAGAAAGCACTATCCCCAAGTAAGAATTTGAGCTATAACACATTAACAAAAAGAAAAATAAATCTATTTTAAATATTTCTAAAGCATTCATTTAAAACATATTTAAAATGTGCTATTTTCCTTTGATTTCACAAGTCTACTTGCAGAAGTTTGCTTTTAAACATCTTTATACATCATGAAAATACCTCCTTTCAACATACCAACCAGAAAATACAGCCTCTTTCCTTAATTTTTGAACTGTATGCAAATGACAATCATTCCACCAGAGACAGAACGTAAATGCTACTGCTGTCAGACACAATCCACAATTTGTAAACACTTCTAACATTTAGTTTATGAATTACTCATTTATCTAGAGTTGGTGCAAATATTATCTAGAAGCACAGTGTTTAGTGTTTAAGAGTATATTAACATCCCTCAGGTGCTCTCCTGTGCCCTCTTTTTCTTCAGGCTCAGACATTACCATTCACCATGCCACAAGGAGAATGACATGTGCTTCAACTGTTGCTTTCATCAGCTTTCAAACTCATACACAATAAACTGAAAATCCTTATGCCTTTTCTTGCAAGCACCTTTAAAAACAAGTGTTGGTTCTAGCAACCAGACCTTCTAGTACACAGAAGCTCTCCACAAGAAATAATAATCAAATGAGTGGCGCAGTCTCTGTTTAAGAGCTAATACTGCATTTAGAAGCCTTGCTTTAGTGTTCCATGTGATGACCTCCCCTCTTACTTTGGTAAGAAAAATACTCTGAGATTACTGTAACAAAGCAAACTTACAGCAGCTATTTTTCCTAATTCAAAAATTAGTATCACCATTTATTTTATCACCAAACACAGCACAACCAGCCAGTCAAAGGAGAGAAGCGTCCCGCTGTATTTGGCATTGATGTGGCATCACCTAGAGAGCTGTGTGCAGTTCCGGGCCCTACTGTTTAAGAAGGATGTGAAAGTCCTTGAATGTGCCCATAGGAGGGCACCAAAGCTGGAGGAAGGGCTGGAAGGCATGAACTGTGAGAAGCAGCTGAGGACCCTGGGTTAGTCTGGTTTGGAGAAAAGGAGACTGAGGTGCAACCCCATTGCTCTCTGCAGCTTTCTGAGGGGGCTAAGTGGAGAGAGAGATACTGAGCTCTTCTCCCTGGGATACAGCAACAGGATGCATGGGAATGGTTCAAAGCTCCGTGAGAGGACGTTCAGACATTAGGAAGCATTTCTTTACCGAGAGGGTGGTCAGACACTGGAAGAGGCTTCTGAGAGAGGTGGTCAGTACCCCAAGCCTGTCAGTGTTTAAGAGGCATTTGGACAGTGCCCTTAACAACATATTTGAACTTATGGCCAGCCCTGAAGTGGTCAGGCAGTTGGACTAGGTGATCGTTGCAGGTTTCTTCCAACTGGAACTATTCTATTCTAGTTTACAGCTCCAGTCTTAAGATGAATTACTGATTAAACTTTGGAGACTTTATAGTTTCTGTTATTATTAAATTTCACAGATGGAATACTGTCTTTAACATTTAAGTCCTGTGTTGCACGTTTAACAATCCAAATTGTTTCTTTTCACATGACATGTCCAAATCCTGGAAAGACCTGTCACTAGCATGAAACAAAATGAAATGGGTTTAAAATACTTTTCCTGTAATGTCAGCCATGTAGTGTCTCTGAAAATGCAATTATGTAGCCATTTATAGTAGTGTTTGTAGTGTAAAGTCTGGACTTTACTCACTTGACCAGACCGTTTTAATTCACAGCAGTTCAAAAATGACGGATGCACTGAAGCCATATTTGGTATATTAGTTAGGCACCTGCTTAGACATGACAAAATTAGACAATCTTCATAATTTATTTTGGTTTTTAATAATTTAATTTGTTTTTCACTATCTACAAATGATTAAACCTAATTAAGCAGCTTACTAATGCCTAAGTACATGCAAAAAAGCAACAAACTTTTAAAAGTATCTATTGTAACACTTAATAAATATTTCTACTATGGAAGTAAAACCTTTCTGTCTACAAACTGAAAAACATATAGTTGGCTTAACTTGTATGTATTTTTACAACTGAACTGCTCTACAAAGCATATTGTAGTATTCAGGTTTTTTTTAATTATGCCACAGTCTTATCAGAAATTGTGAATTTTCCCATTAAAATAATTTTTTTTCCATGTACCTGTGTGTTAAACCAGCAAGTAGGTCCCTTCCTGGAAAAAAAACCCTTTAAAGTAACTGGTAATCAGAGTCTTCTGTTTACCACTGACCACACTACAGATACACCAATGAGGCAATCTAGTCTTTCAACTCACTATCACTCTGGAGTAAAGGAGACTGCATATTTGAAACATCAGTTCAAAAACCATTCATGATCTTCCTACTGACAGTTGCAGTAATTATATTAATTAATGCAATTGCCACAGTGACATTTTGCAGTTTGATTCTAACCACAAAGATCAAGACTGACATCACAAAATCATTTCTAACAGTCTCTTTGATGCTTGTCAAACAACATCTATCAGTATTCAGTTAAACTTAACATAAAACTTGCAACTTCCAATTGAAATATTGTGTCTTCCCAGCTGATTAGGTGAGTCTCTACAGTGAAATGAATCTGCTCTGAAGATATACTGGGTAAAGTTAAATATATTTAAGAATTTTTGTAAAAACCAACAACTTTCATGGAATATCGCCAAAAGTAATTTTAAATTACAAACCTACAATAATACAGACAAAATACATCTACAGCACAAACAAATAACATTTTTGCTTCCAAATCTCACCTAATATTATCCAGAGCACTTGCTCACTATTTAAAAGGATTATATTTAGAGCAAACTAGGGCACATTAAAACACTAAAGCCAAACAAGCCTCACAAGAAGCTTAAAGACAGACCTCAATACTCACCCATCATTAGAACATGTCAAAAACTCTTCCTTTATTTTTGGATGCCAACAGCCTGAATTGAGCATTGCTGTGTGACCCTAAGAAAATAAATACAAAGAGGTCTTACAAGATTTTCTAAGATGTCTTACAAGGTTTTTATATATTTTATTCCAAATTCTTCAAGTGGAATAACATGAAATTCGAGGGCAGAATCAGAACCTTCTGATGACAGCAATGGCTAACTGATATCACAATAATTTAACAAATTTTATGCACTCTCATCCATTTTATTCTTGCTTGTTTCATTTTCAAATTATGAAATGCTGCCATTCTTCTAATTATATTTCTTTTCTTCCAGAAAATGGCATGGAATCATACTTCCCATTTTTCTCTTGGGAGAATCGTAAGGCAGAGAAAGGATAAAACAATAGGCCTCAATATCGTGTCACGCAAATTGTTCCAAGCTACCCAAAAAGAACAGAAATGGGAAGTGCTGGGGTGACACAACATACATACTCAGTGCCAAACTACACTAGCCAAAAACCTTGTTGGAGAAAACTGAGGAAACAGAATTCCAGAGTCCAGACCAATTTAACATCAGGTGAGTTTTTTTGTAAAAGATTTTAAGTTGCAAATTGAGAAGTCAGCCCTGTTTCTTTATGATGGAAAAAACACAAGGTAAGGATTTTATCCAAAGTAAGCAATTGCCATTATAGTGACTATGAATATAAAATGTCTTTGTCCAGCTGGCTTTACTTCTTTGAAGTACAGGCACATGCTCATTTACTACATTCAAAGAGAAATTTGGAAGCTACTCCTGCAACGTTGGAATTATTTTGGTTTGCTTTAAGCACAAATATGGAGAGAAATACTGAAAAGTTAATGGGGCAATATAACAAATATTTTAGCATTTTGACTGTTGGACCACAATACTCTGGAATTCCAGAAGTTTACAAGAGAAAGAAAATCTGAATTATTTTTAAGTAAACAAGAACTAAAGCAGATGTTACTATTTCATGGTTTTATATACGTATCACTTGCCAAAAGAAATAGTCATCTGACAAGAACAGGTTTAGGCAAAGCAGCATTTAGCCTAGTTATCTGGCAACATGCTTTACAAGCAATAAATAAATGAACTTTATTATCAGTTTGAGCAGTAGATTTTATCACTACTTTTTAGACTTAAGCTATTTAAAAAACTGACCTGAATTTAAATCACCTATGTAAACAGAATCCTTGTCTGATATAGTTCGTGGAAATAGGAAGGCAAAGTGGTCAAAACCCAAGCAACTGCTGTTAAAATACTTCAAAACTATGCATCAGCCCTTCCCTATTTGCGTTTTTAAGTACCACTGCAAAGGTACACACTGTTACTTACTAATCTTACACTCACAGCATGTGAGTAACAGTAACAACAACCTCCAACCCCTGCACTGAAAGAAGTAAATTGTATCAGCAAAAGAACAGAGTAGAAGAAAGCAAGAGACTAGGTCAGATGAATAGTTTCTAAGGATTTTTTTTTCTTTTGGTTGGTTGGACAAGGGTATAGGCGAAGCTGACAATTTTTACAAGATACACTTTTAAATAGATGAATTTTTCATAGCGTCAAAGAAACAGTGGTTTGAAGAAAACTTCAAGTTCACCCAGGTCAACCTCCCACTCAAAGCCAGATTACAGCCAACACCAGATCAAGTCAGCCATGGCTTTTTCTAGCTGAGTCTTGAAAACCTCCGTAAATGGAAGTTCCACGATTTTCAGCATGTATCAATACACAGGAATATTGCATCCCAGAGAGGCTTTGCATTCTTCTCTACTGAACTTTATGAGGTTTCTTGTTAACAGCAAAAATATACTATGGAGTATGTCTTCTGGCATTCAATTAATTCCAGACTTTACCTTTGTGTTTGTCATATCCACAATATATTGGTCTCCTTTTATGCACTCCATCACTGGGAAGCCATCTCTGTCAAGAACTTTTGCCTGAGAGTTACCAGAGACAACGAGAATGACATCTCCTGTGCTGCTATATTGTAGAGATTTGATTTGATGACTAAAGAGAAAAAAAGAGAAAGAAAGAAAACACTTCCATTAACTTCAGTTCCTATAAGAATACACTAAAACAAAAGCATCAATGGTGCAAAAACATATTGCATAAGTAGACCCATGTACAATCCTACACCAAAAAGGTGGGAAAAAAAAATCTGAGATTAATGGATTCTTATTCCTCTATATGTGCGCTCATGTTACATTTCCTTCTTCAACCACCCAGCACATAAAACAGTATTATTTACAAAGCTGGCACCTAAAATGTTATTTCTGGCTCTTATAACTCCAAGCGAAAAGCAGTGTGTCAGATTCAGCTTTTCAGAAGTGAAAGTTCTTTTTCATCTTCTCAAAAGCAACATGTGGATTTTACAATAATCTATAAATTCCTGTGAAAGGATGTTGTAGTCCTACATAAAACTTCACTGTACATTGTACACCAGGAAGTCAATTGTATGTCAGCATTCTTTCATCTTTTTCTATGTCCAGGGCTACAGTTTCATCAGAATCTTAGATATAGTTAAACATACCATCAACTCAGGAAAAATAACCATAGATATAATCTGCCTAGTCTACTATTTGGTATAAAGGTTTTCTTAAATACATCTTCTACTGATTAGGAAAACTTGGGAAAGAAATCATGGAATAATGCCAAGACAAGAATTTAAAGACGTTAACTTCAAGTGGGAAGATGGCAGACGAGCGAGATGTCCATTTTCACATGAGCAAAGCTCATGGCAGTTGCTGTCTGAGGCAGATAGCCCTTTGATCCACTACCAGGCCAATACAAGGATGCCACAGAATGCAAAGCAGTCTATCTACTTCACACCTGCCACAGTGTATATCCTGGCACATAACCAGAATATGCAGAATAACTGTACTTTATATTAATGCTCCAACTCTGCAACTAAATTAACCCCAAATTAAGGACTGGAATGTATTTGCCAGCTACCCTTGGATTCCCACAGCATGGAAACTGTCCTCAAAAGAGTATCTTCCTTTTGGCAAAGAACATAACCATGTGCATTCAAATCCCAGGAACTGTAAATTTAAAATTAACACACAGATGACCAACAAAATTGCAACTTGAAACAATGACTTAACATTTCACATTGTTGTGGTTTATACAGTTGCTTTATCACCCTAAGCCTCCTCCCCACCTGAGGAGGGGGATCAGGAAAAGGAAATTAAACCAATATTAATAACAATATTAATACAAAGTATACAGTTATACTCAGCCAATATTGTGGTGGAGTAGGCCTCAGCATTAGAACAGTAAACAGGTCCCTTTTGAGATGACAGCCACAGAAAAGGGAAAGAAGAAGAAGGAGCAAGAGGAAGGCAAGAGGGCCATCCCCAGCAAACTCTTAAATTTATAGTGAATGTGACCTTTATGGTATGGAATAATTATTAATTGGTCAGCCTGGGTCATCTGCCCTGGCTTTCATTCCCCCCAGCCTCTGCACCTGTTTATCTCAAGACTGCTGAAGACCTTGAGCACTATTGCAACCTCCGTACCTGCATTAGCTGAAAAAATACTTACTTTGTTCCGATAAAACAAGAGTGTGATAGTCCTTACAAAATCAGTTTCCTCAACTGAAAAATGACTCTAAAGTTCTGTACCAGTAAACCAGGACACACATCTTATATGGTACTGACTTCATTACTGTCTCAGCAGTAGCTATTATCTGTTAAACCTGTCCTCAAACTATGAGTTACTACACAAAACACATAAAACATCATAATACATATTCCGAAAGTTCTGCACCGACTATAGTAATGTAAACTAAGCATAAGTTTCTCATTCAAAAAATGTTTGGCAAATCTTATTACATTATGATTCAAAAGCCAAAAATTGCTTCAAGCACCCTATTATGTAATACAGACTAGCAGCCAAATTGGCTGAAGTATTATAAACTCTGATTTTTAGTAGAAAGGAGACACTCAAATCTGGGAATTTCCGAAACAGATCACAGGCAATGTCTGAAAAAGCATCATGAGCCTCAAGAGCAAAAATGGATATTTGCTCAGAAGCAGGGAAAAGAAGGCCAGCTGCATTAAGCTCTGTGGAAACACTGAAAAAAATAAAAAGAAACCCACAAGTCAAACAGTATCTAAACTCTAGTAGATTCTCTGCAGACAGTTGACAAATATATACTAAAGAATGCATCAAATACAGCTTCAGAACAACAATGAATTCTTAAGAATTCCACAGACTCATGTTTTGCACTTTTTGCTGTTGAAAGGTGAGAACCAAAACCAAACATTTAAAAACTACATTAAAAGATTATCTTTGTCTGATGCATGCCTCATACATGAAGAGGATTTGGCCACCAGATACGATCAAACAATTGCCCAGAAGTAAGATGTGATTTCTCAGAGAATTCACAGTATGTAAGGGCCCAGAGTCTTCCAAGACAGTTGTTTAAGACACCGAAGTAATGAAATTAAAACTACAGACGTGAATACTGCTAAAGTGGCACTGTTCATAATTTGACCAATACTGTCTCATTGCTTCTTTGTGGTTCTGTATTGGTGCGCTTGAACAAACTTTGTTTTCTTGAAGCTTCTTCTAACAAGGAAAAGCACCTAATTTTACAGCACCTTGCACAATGGCAACATTAATAATTCATCAAATCAGTTGTGAAAAAAAAACTGCGTGAGAGAAAAGATTTCCACAACCTTTATCTGAAAGAAAAAAAAAAACAAAACACAACAAACAAACCACAAAACTCAAACCTTTGTGACTGTGGAACACTACTTTTATAATTGTGTCCAGAATTTGGTTCTATGAGCAGAGTATTTGCACAGCCCCACAAGTTACTGCTTTTCAGATGTTTATTGGAGTACGAGCAAGAATGAGGCTCTGCAGAGGCAGTTCTTACAGAAAACATTTTTGGTTCTTATTAATGTTGAAGCAAAGGTCTTGGGAAACTTACAAAAACAGTTCCCTTTAATAGCATTAATCCAAGACATTTTGGTTTAAAGCTGCCAAATGTACTTGATACTTTCTGCTAGGACCTGCAGAACTGAGGTACACGGGTAGAATCGTGACACATAACACAGCTTTGTCTTACTCTTGTCTTCACCTTTAACTCTGAGGTGTGGTTTGAAGGTACTAGTCTCTTGTCCGATGCTTTTTTTTCTTCTTACATCCCAAATCCAAGGAGAAATTAACAGAGTAACCTGATATTATGTTACAAAATGGAGCCTGGACAATATAGAACTGTCCTCATGTTTTTTATTCTTAAAACTAAATCAAATTTATGGCTCCAGAACTGGACTTTTGCTACACCTAAAGCTTCCACATCAGAACTCCTCAGAATTCTTTGAAATTAAGGTCTCTGAATGCTAATAATACTTGCAACAAATTCCATAGTGAAAGCACAATGTGAGAATATATTACACCTAGGCATAGGTTATATACTATTCCACACAACGCGCACCAGCTTGCCTCAATGTCAGCATGAAATACCTTTTTCTTGAGTTTGGATCTTTTTACCAGACAGAGCTATAGTTCCAGTTTTATGTTTACAAAAAGATACAGAATGGGTATTTAAACAATATATTTTTAAAAGCCCAAAATTAATTAGTACATGAGACACCAGTTGATTCTACTTTTACTATTACTTTATATTTATATTTTTATGTATTTCATTTCTACTTCAATATAATCAAACAAGAAAGTACATTTCACCAAGAACATTCATATAGAAATACTTATGAGACACTTATAATACACTAAATGAACAGTGTCAGGGATAACAAGCACTTCTAGCTTGTATTTTATCATTATTTTTTGCTAAAAGGAGGTTACGAATGTACTCGCAAGCTGTTCTCCTTGAAATGGGGCATTAACATATGCTGCACTTACAGGTTTTATGCTATATTTATATTTTATACCATTATTACCAAGTACTACTAAATTTGAATGTAGTCCACTCAGTTTGGAAATGCTTGAGTTAAAGTAATCTCCTACTGTGGGAATAAAGACTCTCAGCTCGCTCTTAGTGCTCAGTTACAACAGAGACGAAAATACTATTTGTATCCTGCTAACTAACTGCATAAGTGAAACTTATGCCAGAAAAGTCTGAATGTGACTTAATGTTTGTAGCATTTCCTTTATTTCTTCATTTATTCTAAAGTAGCATGTTTACTAAGTTATGTTTTCAAAGTAAATGTGCCATTCATCAGTTTATTGTAACAAGGTAAGTCTGTCAAAGAGATCTGAACTGCATAACAAATCAAAGCACACACTGGATTTTCTTGATTTTTCACCATTTAGAACATCAGTATATCCCTTTGTATTTGGCTCCTTTTTAGGCTAACAGCCCCAATTTTTTCTCATCTGTCATTATCTATATTCTTGGCACATCTATAATTAGTCACACACATTCTAACTTTCCAAATTGACCAGAATTCAGCTGCAGCTTTATAAAGACAATACTGATTTAAAATAGACATTCCAAGGACTACTTGCTGTGCATAATAAATTTCAATCCCCTTTTTAAGCAGACCAAAATATCTTGAAGTGCACCACATTAGTTAAGATACTAGAAAGCACCTTGCTAGAACAACTGTATTATTAATTTACAAATATGTTTATCTGACAGTTCACCGTGCATGAGACATGCGCTTCTTTTGAAGAAGTTCTGTACTCCAATTCTCTGGAAAAAGTAAATTAACTCTGTACGTGTACCTGCTGAATTACAAATGAACAGTATGGCTAGCATGGAAATCACTCTCTAAAAAATGCCTCCTGTATTTTTTTTAAATTTACACACATAAAAATATATACGTAAGTAAATCTACAGCTATTTTTTTTCTTTAGAACACACAATAAACTTATAGCTACCTAGTGTACATTAAGAAAAAAGTATAAATTATCAGTGCAATGCAAAAGGACCAGTGCTTCCAGAAACAAAGTTGAACGAAAATAAGACAGCCCCCCACTCAGAAACCCCGGCAGCAACTACAGAGATTCTCCACAGAGAGATCAACTTTATTCTTCATTAATTTTATATAAGCAGAGTACATATGTAAAGTGTATTTAATTAATTTCAATTACTATTAAGAAAGTCAACCTGTCACTTTGAAAAGTTCATAATCTACTGACCAATACACTATTAACATTTTTATTTGCAAATTCAACTGCAGCATTTTAAAAGGGGAAAATACACAAGCCATTGGAAGAAGCATGGAAAAGACATAGGCAGACAAATTCCTAGGTTCACATTCCATTTACCCCAAAGAGTATGATGGGATATAAAAGTCTTTTAGACAAGCTATCTTACAAGGCTATTAGGAGCTTAAAGTAGGTCTTAGGTGAAAAAGGCAGTTTTCATACCCACCATTCACAAGGCTGGAGTGAACGAAAAGCTTGGAGAGAAGCATCCATTCCAGCAAAATCCCAAAATTTAACATCGTAGTCATATCCACCAGTTAT